ACCCTCAACCAACATAGGTTGGCATCTTTGATGTCACTTAAAGTCCTAGGTATTTGTGGTTGTTGAGATTCGTGTGTGTGTGTGTGTGTGTGTGTGTGTGTGTGTGTGTGTGTGTTTGTCTACCTCTGTCTCTGTCTCTCTACCCTAGGCTGGAAGTGCAGCCACAGCTAACAGACCCATTCCAATGCTGATTGCTCACTTTCTAACCTGGGCTGGCTCACTTCTTCCTTAGCCTGGTGTCTGCCTCCTCCTGAGAGCTGGACATATTGGGAATGGACTTAGTGTGGACAGCCAGTAGGCTTAGGCCACTGCAGTTCAGAACCCCTGAGCTCAAGCGATCCCTGCGCCTCAGCCTCCCCAGAAGTAGGATTACATGTTTTCCTTTGACCAATCGCTACCTCTCTCAAGGGTCCCCCCCCAAACCGTTCAAGTGTTTCATGACTGCTATACTGTAGTGTTGCTGACTCTCCCCAGACTTTGGGGTTATCACATAATCGATGTGCTTCTGAGCATGGTTGGCATCTTGTTACTCTTATTAGTGAGTTCTAGTTAGAAAGTTAGAAAGAACTGGCTTCCACTGGATGGCACCCGATTAGTTCTACAGCCTTGGCTCGAGAGTGTTTTCTGCCTCCTCTCTCTTCCTGGATAGCTTGCTTCCCTCTCGCCATAGTGCCATGTCTTGCTCTCATTGCCACTTTTCATCATCTGTCCCTCCGTGGTCCTTTTCTTTTTTCCCCCCTTACTTTACTTCTTCTGTCTCAGTTCTTGCACCACTGAATTTCTGACTCGGCTTCTCTAGCTGCCTTCAGTTAGCAGCAGCACTGCTTTCCATCTGATTATCAAAATGACCAGCCCTGGTGCGGTTACTGGTTTTTGGGCTGCCGCTTGGTTGCCAGAGCTGTTTTTTTTTTTGCATAAAAAAGCAAAAGACAAAGTCTCAGCATATTTTGGAGGGGAGAGTCCCTCATTTGGGATGGCTTAGGTGGCAGGATACATAGCATTTCCACTCCTTAGGTCACTGTATCTTTCGACTGCTGATCCATATGTATGAAAGGTGACTGTGACCTGTTCGTCAAAATAGAATTAGACAAGCAAGAAACAAATTTAGTGCATGATTTTGGAAGACTTTTGTAAACGAGTTCGGTCCAAAGAGATGGGCTTTTTAGTCACTTTCTTCACCTATTTCCAAATTGCTTTTGAGGCTGGTTAGTTCCGTCAACCCTACATTCATTTAGGTGCCTGTTTTTCCCCCTCTGCTCCCCTCCCCACCATGTCACTTGTTCCATTCTTTCATTTTTGCCAGTTTTTTAGGTATGAGGTAAAAACTCGCAGTTCTCTTGTTTTGTATTTTCTTGGTAGTGATTTGAAGCATTCTTTCATATGGCTCTTTAATAGTTTGCAATTTCTTAAAGCCAAAGCTCTGGCAGGGCTTACCAAGTTGGAAAGGCTTCAAGGACTGCCCAGGGGTAGACTTTCTGTTTATAGAGGACCAGCCTAGCTCAGTGTAGAGGCACCTCACTGGGCTGGCTGAAGGGGAGTGAATTTTGGGGGCCATAGCTGTCCAGCACTAGCTACCTGAGGTGATGTATGTAAAGTACTTTTTGCAAAACCTAAAATGTGATTTAAACATCGGCTATAATTATAATGATAATGATAACGACTAAATCATGGGGGGATTGTGATCTGTGTTGGTGAATGAAATAGAAACGCCAATGAAGTCATGGATCCTAATGATACAGAAGTATAAGGAAAGGCTTTTAAGTCAATTGTTTTAAAAAGATGATTCTTAACCATAAATCACAAATGTTTACATCTCTCCTCATCACAAATAAAGGGCAGCTAGATAGTGCAGTGCATGGAATGCCAAGACTGGAGTCAGGAAGAGCTGTGTTCAGTTCAGCCTCAGACACTTGACCCTGTTTGCCTCAGTTTCCTCATCTGTAAAATAAACTGGAGAAGGAGATAGCAAACCACTCCAGTATCTTTGCCAAGAAAACCTGGAAGGGGAGGTCACGAAGGGTTAGGCACAACTGAAATGACTGAACAACATCATAAATAAATTATAAATATGTATCTCCCTCATCATCGTAAGTAAATTATGAATATTTGCCACCAGAACTTCAAAAACATGGGCTCATGTTGCATCTTGCCTCATTTAAGGTAAACCTGAACAAGCCTTTGTTAAATAGGGACCTGAAAGTAGAGAGAGGTGGTCTCTGTAGCGTTGTTTTTAGTAGAACAAGGCAGCTGCCTGGAATACTTGTGGTTGTCTTGCCTAAAGGCAGAGAGAGAAGGTTCAGTGTCTTTTTAAAATCTCCTTCTAGTCCTCTGACCCAGTGATTAAATCATGCTAATCTAAGAGGGAATTGATTTATTCCTTCATAAAGAGGAGGTGATTCTCACTTCTGAGCACATTATACAGCAGTCCCTTTAGCCCGAGGGTTGTGGTGTGCCCAGGGTCTGCTCTATCTTTCTGAATGATCTGCAGCAGTAGGCTGTAATTGCTGGACAATGTGGACTCTTTCAGATCCTTACCCACGGACTCTTGGGTCTCATGTTCATGTTTGGACAGTAAAGGGCCATCCTTTAGCTCCGCTGCTCCCTCAGGGAGCTTGACTTTTGCTTGACTTTCGCACTTTGAAGGCTGAGGAAGTATAGAGCTATGGGTTTGTGTGACCCAAAGGTGCCATAAGGTAGACTATAATGGCAGGACCCATATTTACAAGAATTTGTAGTCTTGACTAGAATCAGATATGGGAAGATCTGAGTTCAGTGCTATTAATTTCTTTTATTCCTTCTCTCTATATGTATTTTAAATTTTATTGATATCTTTTGGGTTTTACACCACAGATTTCCTGATATCTCCCCTCTCTCTTCACAAGAAACAAAACCAAAAATCGTTAAAGCCAATTCCTGGGCAGCTAGGTGGTGTAATGGATAGAGCCCTGGGCCTGGAGTCAGGAAGATGAATCTTCCTGAATTCGAATCTGGCCTCAGACCCTCAGTAGCTGTGTGACCCCGGGCAGGTCCCGTCACCCTGTTTGCCTCCATTTCCTCATCTGTAAAATGAGCTGGAGAAGGACATGACAAACCGCTCCAGTGTCTTTGGCAAGAAGACCCAAATGGGGTCCCAAAGAGTCGCACACGACTGAAAAACGCCTGACCAACAAAGCCAAGCCTGACTGACACCTTACATAGCCAGCATTCGGTACCTGCAAGTCCTCCATCTCTCTCCAGGGAGGAGGGAGGGGGTATGTCGGTTGCATCAGCTGCCCCCTGGGCCAAAGCTGGTTACTGCTGTTCATTTCACCTTTTTTCTTAACCTCAGTATCATTTAGAAGAAAACTGAAGTTTCATTCTTTTTGAGTTACCTTCTTTCCAATCCCATTTCATTGTTTTAGCCACATTGTCCTTATTAAGACCACTAGAGGAGACCCATTGTCTTGGTTTGAAATCTCTTGTAATTCCCATAAGGATGCCTTTGTTTTCATGGCGGTTCAGCCTTTGTATCAAGAATCCGTGGCTGACATTCATCTTCTTATTTAATTTTTAAAAGTGATTTCCTGATTGTGCTTCTCTCTGGTCTCAGAATTACTTTGCACATTCGTGGGTTAAGCAGGGGCCTAGGTTCCTTTTGGCTCTGTTTACCTGATCAAGATTTGACAAGTTAAGCTCTCAGAGAGTGGGTCTGTCCTGCACAAATAATGGTCTCTTCTTTCCCTCTGGCTGGTTTGTTCTTTTAAGTTTTTTTTTCATGCTTAAAACTTTTTTCATGCTTAAAGGATTGAAATCCGCTGAAAGCAAAACCTTCAGGGAGGCTCCCTCTAGCTTTATTAGAAAACAGATTATCACAGTCCAAAAAAAGCTTGTTTGCAATTAGTGTAAAATGTCTCATTATGCTTTTTTGAGCATAAGATTATTACAGGAAGTATATTTAATTTGAAGAAAGTTAATAAATTACCAGGGCTCTTGTTTTTTTCGGACTCTAATACTAATCACAGTCATAAATCACCTGTATGACAAGTCTGAGTAAAGTGGTTGTTTTGAAATTTGCATTCTCCCTGATTATCACATTCCCGTCAAATCATCCTCTAATGTTTCATCAGATCTGGAGGAGATCCTGGATTCTGGACATCTAATAACAGCACCTACCTCCCAGGGTAGTTATGAAAATCAGATGAGATAATATTTATAAAATGCTTCTTAGCACGGTGCCTGGCACATAGCAGGCATGTAATAAATGCCCGTTTTCTTTCCCTTCCTTCACCTCATCCCCAGCCTTGTGACTATGGGAAAGGTACTGAATCTCTCAGCCTCTGATTTCTTTGACTATAAAATTCAGGTGTAGGTATTTATTATGGTATTTGTGTCAGGTGAGATAATGTATATATAAACTGCTTTATAAACTTAAAGCCCCATATGATTGTCAGTTCTTGACAGTAAAGGACTAGCATGTATTCATGGCTGATGTCATCAATCAACAGGCATTAAATAGCTACTGTGTATCAAACACTGGAGATACAAACACAAAGAATGACACAATCCCTACCTGCGGGAAGCTTCCATTTTAGCGGGTAGATGCTAAGGACGTAGATGAATATATTCAGAATAAATAATAACGAGATGAGATACCAAGTGGTTAAACACAAGGTAGTTTGGGAGGGAGGGCACCGTGACTTTGGATCAGCCTCCATGACCTCAGGTAGTGCTTGGGCTGAGTCTCCAAAGAAGGTTACTCGAGATCCTCTTTGCTCTGGGACAAGTGGCGTGACCACTGGGATGTGTGCCAAACATTTCTGAAATAAAGATGCACATTTTAGCAAGCGTCCTGAAAATCACAACTGAGCAGGATGTTAGGGATGATACATTTAATGGGTCAAGTGGAAAAAATTATGGGGAAATGACCACTGTGATCGTGGAAATTGGGGATGTATTGATATTAACCAATTAAATGTCGTTTTGAGTGAGGATGATTTTTCTATGTCCCTGTTTCTTTTTAGAAACCTGATTCTCTTACCACGGGAGCTGGTGTCCCTGTAGGAGATAAACTTAATATTATAACTGCTGGACCTCGGGGACCCCTTCTTGTTCAAGATGTGGTTTTCACTGATGAAATGGCTCACTTTGACCGGGAGAGAATTCCTGAGAGAGTTGTTCATGCCAAAGGAGCAGGTGAGATGTGCATTTTAGCTGGCATATAGTAATTATTTTACCCTACCCGGGTTGAGATGGCCATTCTCAAGCCTTGATTTTATACTCTTGTCTTAATGATGCGATAATTTACCCAATTCTAGCACAGAGATTTTGAATCCCTGCCCTTAGAAGTTTCTGTTGGAAAACTTGCTCATTTACCCCCTCTGTTGGAGGAGACCTGCATCTTATCATGTAACCCATCATGCTTTATCTCTCCACTCATCTCTCCCAATGGTTTTGCAAGATTATTCATCATGGTTTTTCAGTAGGCATTATGGCGTCTTCATTGAGTGACTACTGCCATTCCTACCTCTGAGATGCCTTTTCTGCTTTCCTCCCCCAGCCTGTAATTCTTTGTCTCCTTTCACAAATGCTGCTTTTCTTTAAGCCCCGGCTCAAGACTTTGCACCATCATGTGAAGTTTCGTCCAGTGCTTTTTAGATCTCCTTGGCTACCTTCCTGAGTTCAAGCTCAGTGCCCCTGGCTAGCGCCTCAACACGTGCACGTCATTTCCTGTGCGTTTGTAAATTGTGAGCTCTCTGAGGGCAGGTAGGGAGGGCCTCCTGCTTCTCATAGGTAGGTGCAAGATAGGACTCATTCTGTACTTGAACGATTGTTCATAGTGCTGCTTTCTGTGCTTGTCTTGTAGGAGCATTCGGGTATTTTGAAGTCACTCATGACATTACCAAATATTCCAAGGCAAAGGTCTTTGAGCATATTGGGAAAAAGACTCCGATTGCCGTTAGATTCTCTACAGTTGGTAAGTCGTCACTTTTAGTCACCTGAGGACCATTGCTTTGTAAACGGCGCTGTCTGCTTTGTCATTGTTATTGGCTCCAGCCTCTGACACTTACTAGCTATGTGACCCTATGTGGATAGAGTGCTGGGCCTAGAATCAGGAAGACTCATCTTTGTGAGTTCAGATTCGGCCTCAGACGCTTGCTCGCTGTGTGACCCTGGGCAAGTCACTTAACCCTGTTTGCCTTGGTTTCCTCATCTGAAAAATGAACTGGAGAAGGAAATGGCAAAGCACTCCAGCATCTCTGCCTAGAAAACCCCAAATGGGGTCACAACTGAAACTACTGAACAACAACAAATATTCATGCAGAAACAGGCTTCTTGGAAGAAAAAAAAAGAGGAACTTTGAAAATAGAGCAAGATTTCAAAAAAACAGATTTCCTGATACTTGTTAGCAAGCCACTTACATCTTACCTGCTGGAATCTTGAGTGGTAACACTTAGGGGCAGTGACTTCCTGATCCATTATTGAAACTCTCAGGAATTAGTTGAGTTTCCTTGCAAGCACTACTTCAGAGCTCTAGAGTTAAGATTTTAGGCCTGTACCCCAATTTTTTTTCTGTTTTTTTTTTGTTTCCCCTTTTATTTACTATATAACAAATTTGATTACAAATAGGGAACTTGTGTTTTAACTCTACTTAGCATCAAACTCATGATATGGCAGTTCACTTATTCCTCAAATTTTTTTCCTTAATTTTCAGTTCCCTTTAAAGCTTTTTATCTGGAAATTTTGATTCATTGTGGAACTGAAAACAGCTTAGTATTAGTCCCAGAAAGTTTGAAAGTTTAGCCTTATGATCACTTGGGCCTTTATTATGTTGACTATTTTATCTGAATGAGTAAATGAAAGAGCATTTCTTAAGTGTTTACTTTGTGCAAAGCACTGTCCTAGGCACTGGGGATTTAAGACAAACAAGACAGCCCCTGCTCACCTTCTGATAGGGAGAGACAACCATACTTAGTACTTTTTATTTCCTAGAGTGAATTAACATAATAAGTTAGAGAAGTGGTCATCTAAATACAGGGGTGGGGAACCTGGGGCCTCGAGACCACATGCGGCCCTCTAGGTCCTCAAGTGCGGCCCTTTGACCAAATCCAGTTTGGTCAAAGGGCTGCACTTGAGGACCTAGAGGGCCGCATGTGGCCTCGAGGCTGCTGATTCCCCACCCCTGCTACAACCCCAGGAATTTACTTTACCCTCCAAAGTGGCAGGAGAATGAAGCACAGTGTTGTTTTGGCCTTCTTGGGAGACTGTATTCTCTCTAACATCTACTCATGGTGCATCTTCCAGCCGGAGAAGCCGGATCAGCAGACACTGTTCGTGACCCTCGAGGCTTTGCTGTGAAATTCTACACCGAAGACGGCAACTGGGATCTCACAGGAAATAACACGCCCATCTTCTTTATCAGAGACCCACTTCTGGTAGGTGAAATTGTTGTATATCTTGTTGTCTGTCTTGCACTTGAGAAGACTTGCTTCAGAAGACCAAAGGAGAGAAGGGGGCTTGTGTTCTGAGATTGCCCGGTTGTCTTTTTAGGAGACCCCTTGCAAATGCAGTCTTGCATTTCAAGATCGCGGGAGCAAGCGGCATTCTTAGTGTTGGGATTTGATATTGATTTTCATAATGATCATGGCAGCCACATGGCAAGGTGCTGTAGCCGGGCTCTGGGATCTTGAGAAAAGGGGCCTTCTCTCTCAGGGCATAAAGTGAAGGTTTGGGGGGATGTCCTAGGATGCTGGGAGACATACAGGACTTTGTGTGGAAGTTAAACACATAGATTAGTCTGTAGACAGTTTAGACAATAGCTGGGCGCTAGCTGGATATAGTAAATAGAATGTTTTGCTGTAGTCTGTTCAGGATTCAGACTTATTTGAAAAGCATCTTGATATAAAGGCTGGATAGCTGGCCTTGGGACCAGGAAGACCCAGATTCAAGTCCAGCTTCTGACACATATTAGCCAAGTGACTCTGAGCAGCTCACCTCTCCCGTGATCAAGCTGACTCTCTGAGAGGGTGCTAACCTATGCTGGTTTCAGCTGGGAGTTCTCTACCCCAGTGGAATCTTGGATCACTTCCTTCCTTCTGTTACTTTACATTGTACTATTTTAGATTGTGAGCTGTTTGAGAGCAAGGACTCTCTAGCTCCATTTTGTGTCCTCTGTCCTTTGAACAGTTCCTGGCCCATAGCAGATGCTTAATAAATGTTTATTGACTGACAGGAATCAATATGATTGATTAAACGTGCAGTATATTCTGTGGCTTAACCCTAAAGCAAATATGGAAAAGAAGAAGCCATAATTTCTATAACCTGATTTTAGATCTTTCCCCCCACTTTTGTTCCCCATATAGTTTCCATCCTTTATTCATAGTCAGAAGAGGAACCCTCAGACCCACCTTAAAGATCCTGACATGGTTTGGGACTTCTGGAGTCTTCGCCCTGAATCTTTGCATCAGGTAAGAATGGTTGTCTTTTACTGCATTGTAATTATTCCCTGTGAGGGGGGAATTTACTAATGCTTTATTTCATGGGATTTGGGAAATCATTTTGGGGGGCGGCCTTTACTTTTCTCTTCAGGGGCTTCTAAGAGATTTGCTAGGGAGAATATTCTACTGCAGAGGTGGGGAACCTGTGGTGTTGAGGCCACGTGTGGCCCTCTAGGTCCTCAAGTGCAGCCTTTGCCATGAATCACACTGGAGGACCTAGAGGGCCATGTGTGGCCTCAAGGCCACAGATTCCCCACCCCTATTTTGTGATTTTTTTCTCTAAAGAAACCTTAAATTGCTAATGTCACCAAATTAGAGATGGATTGGTAGAAGAAACAGATTGATAATCTCATTTATCATGAAGTGTTTAATTATGTTTGGGGTGTGAAAAGGAAAATGGCATTCTTGTGAGTATGTTCTTCTTTTACGATTCAGGAGATATGCGCATAATGGGCAGTATGCTACCATGTACTCTGTATCGTTTAGGCGTTTTGCTATAACGTAGTTCAGAATCTGTTTGGCCGTTTTGCCTTAAAGAAGATTTTCTTCCCCTTGCCTCCCAGGTTAGTTTCTTGTTCAGTGATCGTGGAATTCCAGATGGCCATCGTCACATGAATGGATACGGATCTCACACCTTCAAACTGGTTAATGCTGAAGGGAAAGCAGTTTACTGCAAATTCCATTACAAGGTGATTCTCAGTTAGCTTTCCAGATATAGTCAGCAGGATTTTTTTGATCTTTCATTCAACAAATATTTATTGAGTTCAAGTAAATGAATGATTCTGAACAGTAGAAGCAAAATTCTCCTTTTTTTTCTCCCTCATAGAATCAAGTTGAATTCTTTGCTTTTGGAAGGTACTAAATCATAGGATTTTAAGGCTGAAAAGAACCTTTTAAATGACCTAGTTCAACCCCCTCATTTTGCAGGTGGGGAAGCTGAGGCCCAGAAAGAGGAAGTGATTTTTCCCTAAGTGACAAAACTAGTTAATTGCAGACCTGGGCCTAGACCTCAGGTCTTTTGTTACCCAGTCTAAATGGTCATTTTATCACCTAATATTGCCTCTTATTAATTGGAATGTTTTAAAAGGAGCTTTTCTGCATGAGATACTGCTATTCATAACTGTAAGTACTAGGCCAGGGTAGGGAACCTGTAGCCTTGAGGCCACATGTGGTCCTCTAGGTCCTCGAGTGCAGCGTTTTGACCAAATCCAAATTCAGTCAAAGACTGCACTTGAGGCCTTAGTGGGCCACGTGGGACCTCAAGGCCACAGGTTCCCCCACTCTGTTAGGCATTGAGAAGCTCAGTTTTCTTTAAAAGAAAAAGTCTATTTAGTCCCATTCTGAGCTAATTCGAATGTCACAAAATGGAGCAATGTGCTTTTTGTTTAAAACAAATTTGTATTGATATCTTTTGTTTTTAATATTGCTTATGTTTTTCATTGTATTATTCCTCCACCCCATGCCAGAGAGCTATGGGAATGTACCTTTGTAGCACTTACTGAAAAAAATAAAATTATATGTCAATAAACATTTATTAAGTTCCTACCATGTGCCAGGCGCTGTTTGAAGCACTGAAGATCCAAAAGAGTGAAAAGACCATCCCTTTCCTTAAGGAGCTTACAATCTAAAGTATACTGTGTATATACGTCCATTTGTTTCACAAATACTTATTAAGCACCGGCTAGAAATATTTTTATAAAACAAATTTTCAATCTTAATTAGACAAACACAGTTCCTTGGCTCTTCTGAAAATTAGTGTTGCCAAATGGTGTTTAATGACCTAATAATGGATTTGAAATTTGGAGATGATGTTACTCAAATATGCTGTCTGTGGTCGTTTAATTATCATGGAAAACAGTGAGAGGCCCTTACTTATGACCTCATGGTCCTTTCCTTTGTGGCTTGTTAACTTTAGACAACTTTGCCAGTTAATCTCAGTCTAAATGCTTCTTTTGTTTTTCTCTTTCAGACTGACCAAGGAATCAAAAATCTTTCTGTCGAAGAGGCTGGAAGACTTGCTAAGGAAGATCCTGATTACGGCATTCGGGATCTCTATAACGCCATTTCTTCAGGCAACTACCCATCGTGGACATTTTACATCCAGGTCATGACCTTCGAGCAAGCAGAAGCATTTCCATTTAATCCATTTGACCTCACTAAGGTAAGGCAAATTAAAGGCTTGGGTGGCCTATCACTTACTTACTCTGTGTTGAGTATGGAACATGAAAGGCAGTTTATGTACTAGCAGCGTGCAGGGTGGTATTGTCCTAGAATTTCCAGAGAATGTTTCATTCAGGTGTGTAGTGCCATTGTAGGTGCTCAGTGTGCTGAGGAGCTGTTCCAGCTGCTTGGAATCTTATGTATTAGTCAACGGCTAGATTTTGTGAAAGACACTCTCTGAATTTGCTGTTGCCCAGAGTTTGACCGGTGTCGATGGTGGCCTCAGGAATGATCCTCCTGGCTTTTATCCTTTGTCATAATCACCGACTTTGTAAGACGGGACGCCAGGATTTCAAAAAGTAGTTTTGACTTATCTGTCACATGTTATGCTTCTCTCATTTCCAGGTTTGGTCTCACAAAGACTATCCTCTTATCCCAGTTGGTAAACTGGTCTTAAATAGGAACCCTGGGAATTATTTCGCAGAGGTGGAACAGATAGCCTTTGACCCAAGTAACATGCCACCAGGCATTGAGGCAAGCCCTGATAAAATGCTGCAGGTAAGCCTGGTGGGTTTCTGTATTGTTCAGACCATCCTAGACTGACCTTCAAGCCAGTCTCACCTTGAGTTTGAAGTTGGTGTGTTACATGCATGGGAATGCTTTGGGGTGAGATCATCAGCCAATCACTAAACATTTATTAAGTGCCTACTATATTGCCAGGCAGTGTGCTAAACACGGGGGTACAATGAGGCAAAAGACAGTCCCTGCCCTCAAGGAACTTGCAGTCTAATGAGGGAGACAAACAAATATATAGAAAAGAAGCCATACAGTAGGATAATTAGAACATAATTAAGAGAGGGAAAGCTCGAATTAGGAGGAGTAGGGGAAAGACTGCCTGTAGAAGGTGGGATGTTAGTTAGAACTTGAAGGACCTAGGGAGATCAGTAGTCAGTGGAGGAGGGAGAGCGTTCCAGACACGGGGAACAGCCAGAGCCTAGAGATGAAGGGTCTTGTTTGTGGAACAGCCAGGCAGCTAGCATCACTGGATAGAAGAGTGCATGTTATACACTAGGCCTTTTCACTACCAATCCCTTAAATTCCACTTAGTAATGAATAGTGTTAGAGTGAGAGTTCATTAGGGTTTTAAGATTTTGGCATTTCCTTTTTTTAAATGTGCCTCAGAAAAATATTTCCTCTTTTACAGAGTGCCTGGCCCTCTGTGTTTATTGATTAATTATTCAATATTAGTCATTGAAGGAGGGATGGGCAGTTTATTGCCAGGAATTAATAAACATCAAGACGCCTTGATCAAAACTCTTCTATTAATTTACTGTTTTGTTAATGCGGCCCTTCAGTGTTTCCGCTTGTAAACAGGAAAATATTGATGATGTTGAGCTGATGTTGCTGATGTTAACGATGCACTACTTTTGCCTTAATTATTGTCCTTATAGTCCTTAATATTGGGTATATTTGGCATAATTTATGGTATGAGCCCATACCACACCCGTAACACGAGGAGGGAGTTTTAACTACTTCCCTTAGATAAGAATTCAGTGGGGAAAGAGTTGATTTAATAAATTACTGAGCAATTTTCTGTTTTTTTAACTGTGTCCATGAACCAAGGTTTAATTAGAAGTGCAGTTTTTATAAACCTACCACAATTACTACCTCTTGTTTTCTTATGTAATACTATATCTTAATACACTGATTACTATTATTATTGAAACTAAATAGCTATAGAAATAAATCTGAATGTTAAATACTCTTTATGGTACTCCAGAGTTTTTTTCCTAATCTTTGTTAATGTATAGATGAGATTTTACATTGCTGTAATGAATGTGGACGTTTTGCTTTGTGTTGTGCTTTGCAAAATTAAAATTATTCCGTAGACTTGTTAGTTGTTTTTAATAGCTTTAGACTGTTTGGTTATGGCAGCATACTGCAGCTTGCTTAGCTCTTTCCCTGTCGTTGAATGTTTTACCTTTTCCTATTGTTCTGGAAATTTCCCAACTATGTGAAATGTCCGCTAATGTACCAAGAGTGGTGGTGGCGTGGGAGAATATGGGAGAGGCCATGGCCTAGCTTTTGTTTATGGAGTGATTTCATCTTCAGCCTTGACTCTAGAAGGAGAGTATGTCCACATGGCTCTGAGGCGAAGGAGTCAGCCAAGCCCCAAGCCCAACATAGAGCCTAGACTGTGCTGTTGGCACAAATAGAGGAAAAAATTAACCCTAAGTTATTTGCATTGGCTTTGGGAAGTGGATTCAGACCGTTAAATATGGTAGGTTAGTGACCCTGGAGGAATGGGAGAGTGAGAACAGTTTGTTCTAATGGCCATGAGGGCAGCTGAAGCAGGCACGGTGGAATGTTTAGAGCTTGGTCAGACATTGAAGACAACGGGGTCACCCAGTGTATCCCAGGCCATCACCAGTTGTCTTGACTTTTGTCTTACCTCTGGACTTCGAACACTCTGGAAGAGAGAATGAGACTGACGCCTTTGTGCAACTCTTCCTCACGTGAGTCAAGACGTTACCTGTGATGTCATTGGTCCTCTGAAGATGAAGGGTGAGCAAGTGGATAGGGCGCTGAGCTAGGAATTTAAGCACAGCCGGATCTTAATCCCAGTAGTTTAACATTCTCTGAAGTTTGGATTCAGTTAAAGGGTCGAGCTTGAGGACCTAGAGGGCCACATGTGGCCTGAAAGCCACAGGTTCCCACCCCTGCTCCAGACCCTTGCTCTTGTCTGGCGCCTCTACGTTTTCTTGCTGTAGTAGACAGAATATTCTGACTGACGTTTTATCTTTTATGATTAGATTTGTGTATGTGAGGTTCATCATTTTGAACTAGCAGTGCCATAACTAGTGTGAATTTAGAGCGTATTTGTGAAAGAACTGATTTGTAGTGGGAGTGTTTTCTCTTTTATTGAACTAAATTATCTTATTTTCTAGTCTTCTCTTTCTTTTAGAAGTGGCATGTGGTAAAAAACCACTGATGGTTTCAGTAGGGTTTTGGTTAATCAAGTCCTTTTAAGTTAGTAACTTCCATGGGAGAAGAAGCTAAACAAATACGATTTGGCTTTGTTGGTAATTCGTAAACTGAGGAAAAAAATTGGGGTGATTATCTGTGTAGAATAAATTTAAAAATTACTGTTGGCCTGACTTGGACTACATCATAGAGAATAAATGACTTTTCAGTAAGGATGATGTCTGTAATAAAGGCTAGACCTGGCCTCTAGTGGGGTATAGGCAGCATTTTGCAATCATTACTTTGTATTTGGTGCTTTATGGCATTATCTTCCCTTCTGTTAATTAAGTAGAGTAAATAAACTTTTACAACTTGAAGCAAACATTCAAATTCATTATTTTAGGGCCGTCTTTTCGCATATCCTGATACCCACCGCCACCGTCTAGGACCCAACTATCTTCACATCCCTGTGAACTGTCCTTACCGAGCTCGAGTGTCCAACTACCAAAGAGATGGACCCATGTGCATGTCTGACAACCAAGGTATCCCCAAAACTCTTTGGTATCCTATGCAAGAAGTTTACTGTGAAATTTGTAGGGTCTTGGGATTTAGATCTGGAAAGTGGCCTTCAGGAGGTCATTGAGTTCAAACTATAACATTTCTAGATGAGAAAAATAAGACTCAGAGGGTTTTGGCTCACTCAAGAGCATGCTGGGTAATGAGGAGCAGCCCTCAGATGTGAACCCCAGGCATCCTGGGACTGGAGTCTCATGCTTTTCCGTGATGCTGCTTTCCTTACAACAGCCTTGTGAAGTGTGAATTATATTATGTTTGGACCATTTTGGCTACTAAAAGGGGAAGTCGATTCAGTGAAAAAAAAATCTGTAATTTATTATCAACTCATTGAATTTTCCACTTTACAACAGGTTGTTTTGATGATTCATACACAGCTAAATATAACTAATTACTTTAATCTGCCCTCTTGAATTCTTGAGTATCTTTATGGGAAACTGAGCCCACTTCTTTCCCCCTTCCAGCCCCCCCCATATATGAAACATATATTCTTGATAGACCTAACTTTATCCAATTTATTATGAGCTTAACTTTTAATATTAGCAAAATCAATTAAGTATACTGTAGGACTTTTACATTTGATTAATATATTTCGTCATGCTCCTGTAGACCTGAAAAGTCATTGATGTTTCCTCAGAGGTGTGTCACAGGGGGTCCACCCAGTGTACTGGGACTTCCTCTCACGTTCTCTTGACAGTGTAAGAATATCACTGGAGACGCAGGCTGACTGATAGTTTTCTCTTTTCTTGCCTAGCTTTGTGGCGCTCATGTTTCTTTGATGGCATCCTTTCCATCATTTCTCCTGCATAATCTCTTGTTAGCCGTAATTTACAGCCGGTCATGATCACCACTTGCCTCTCCATTACCGACCCTCACTACAGTTCTTTGTAGCAATTGTCAGTCACTTCCTGTGTCCCTTTCACTTCCATTTTGCCCATTCATCCCTGGGTATATTTTTAAATGGAATTTTCTCTCAATCACTGACAATCCACTGTCTCTCCTTCCCACCTCACCTTTTCCTCATTTAGAAAGAAAGAAAAACATTTATGGTCAGGCAAAACAAGTTATCCCACTCCATGCTTTCCCAAAACATGCTTCCATCTGCATTCTGAATCCATCGTGTCTCTGTCAGGAGGTGGGAAGTGGGTTTCATCGGGAGTCCTCTGGAATTCCGGTTAGTTATTCCTAAGTCTTTCAGAGTCTTTCCAGCGTTCTTGCTATAATGTAAATTGTTTTCCTGGTTCTGCTTGTTTTACTCTGCATAGGTTTACACAAACCTTCCTAGGTTTCTCTGAAACCATCCCCTTCGTCATTTCTTACAGCATCATAGTGTTTGATTACATTCATAGACCATAATGTGTTTGGCTGCTTCCCAAATGATGCGCATCCCCTTTGTTTCTAGATCTTTGCCTCTGCAAAAATTGCCTCTGCAAGAGTTTGTTTGTTTAGGACCAGGGCCTCTCTGACTCTGCCCTGCTTTTCTTTCCCTCCTTTCCCCCCATTGAATGAAATGTATTTCTATACCCAAGTCTGTGTGTGTGTGTGTGTGTGTGTGTGTACAGGCGTGCACGCCATACTTTGCTCAGTCAGATGCGAGTGAAGCTCAGTTGTCATCTGTTCCCCACCCCCTTTCTAACTTGTGCCTGTCAATTATAGGAGACAGTCTTCCTCATCTTTCTTCTCCCTTCCTCCTACCCCCAGTGGATTTTTCTTCCCCTCTCTCCCCATTCTATTAAGATCATCCAAACGTAACAGAACCATTCCCAGGCCCTTCCATGACTCTGGATGATGACTGGATTCTGAGGGGCTGTGTAGCATCTCTCCAGATTAGAATGTGAGCAGTTTGTTTTCCGGGTCAGCCATTTTTGCTATGAGATTCTTTACATTTTCTTTCATTGTTTCTTAGTCTTTTGACTGATTTAATTTTTCTTGTTGCCGTGTGGAGCCGCTGGCTTCTCTTGGTTCATTCTGATTTTCAGGAAATGTGTTGTTTGGCTTAGCTTTGTGCTTCCTGTACCAGAGTGACCGTTCATTCCCTTTCCAGTTCTTTTGTCCGTAGCTCTCATATCTTTTCCCATTTTTTCTCCGAGCACTCTCATTTCGTTGATAAAAATATTTTTTTTATTTTTTTAGTTCATTCTTCATCTCTTCCACGAATTCTAATTGAACTGGTGCCCCAGTTATGTTTGTCCTTACGTGGTTTTCCTTTTGCCAGTTCTAGTTAGTATGTGCGTAGTTCGTTTTCTTCTCTTTGCAGCTATTATTTCTTATAGATTTTAATATTTTTTTATATTTCTCATTAATCTGAATGGCATTTTCAGTTAAAAAACTTTCATTAAGCACTTATACTGTGTTAGGTACTGGGAAAACAGGCCATATTGGAACAGCCCTGGGATCATAAACGTAGAGCTGGAAGAGATGTTGGAAGCCGTCCCTGCCCTCCCCCCTTTGCCTTTTTGTGGATTCTCTCATATAAAAATATCATCTTACTACAGTGCCAAGTCCCCTCCATCCCTCCTCCCCACTGCCTTGAACCTGTCATTTTTCTTTTTAGTGAGGTATCCCCTTTCAGAGGTCTGGAGATCCTATACCACCCCGTCTCACTGATGTCTGCAAGGTTAAATTGACTTCCTGAATTAGGATTTCCAGTTCATCTTACTTATTAACCTGATTTGTGTGCATGGAAATCAGAGGCTTTTTGTCCTCCTTGGAATTTTAGTCTTCTGTAACTTTCTGGGCAAGGTTACTGCTATTTTAGCTCGCTGTTATGTGTATAGTGTTGGTGACACATGTAGGTGTTTTTTCTTTCCCCCTTAATTTTTATCTTAAAGCCCTTTTGATTAGCTTTGTAAAACCCAACTCCTTACAGCCCTTGGCAGGTACATTCCATCTCTGGCCCGGAGCCCATCACTTGCATTTTCAGCCATGGCTCAGAAATGGGAAGACCAAAGGAGGGACCAGAAGTTGGTGTCGCTTACATTTCTTTATTTTTAGGGAGGTTGAACATGTTTCAAGTTATTATTTACGATGTGTGGTTTTTATTCTGTAAATTTTTATATGCCTTTAACCACTTTGTGTGGATCTTGGGTTTTGTTCTCAAATGTTTTTCTGCATCTCTTACAAATTTTGAAAGTTGTTTTGTGTTACATTGGCCATAAGTGGTTTTCCCAGTCTTTCTTCTTCTTATCTTGATTATATTCTTTATTGTTATGTTAGAAAGAAATTTTAAATTTTTTGGCAATTGCATACCACGTGCCTTGTCCCTAGTGGTTTCTTCTTTTTGCTCAATAAAAAGAATTTGTACCTCCATGATTGAGATTAATACGTTGTTCTATTTTCTTGCATTTTTGTGTGTTATTTTTAATGGTTGTCTATATTCTAGCTAGAATTTAAAGTGTTACATTGTGTAAAGTCTGTGTCTAAGTCCACTTTTCACTATGTTGCTAATCATTTTTTCCCAGCAGTCTTTATTCAATTTATACCATCCCCCTCTTTTTTCTCCTTTGTCAACCTCTAATCTTTTATCTGCATTTGGTGTACTGTCTAGGGTCTGTATTTTGTGACATTATAATTGTTTTAGAGCATGTCCTAAAATCTAGAAGTTCAAGGGCACACTCAGCAGTTTTATTATGATTTTACCCAGTTCTTATCCTGACTGTGCCATTTTATTCTTATAAAAGCTTTTTTAGAAAACATTCATTTAATCTAATTTGATTGTTTTATCTTTCATAAACTCATTTAAGAATTCTCCCTCTAGGGAGGTAGAATGTAGCAAATTATCTCACATAAAACAGACAAGAAAAGGCTTTTACAGTGGAGGGGAAACAGGGGAAGGTGAGAGGAAATGAGGGAATCTTATTCTTACAGGATTTGGCTTAAGGAGGGAATAACATACACACTCAATTGGGTATGGAAATCTATGTTACCCTACAGGAAAAAGGGGGGGGGAAGGGACAAAAGAGCAGGGGGAGATAGAGGGGAGGGGGTAATCAGAATCAAACATTTCTAAGGAAGGACAGGGTCAAAAGAGAGAATAGAATAAATGGGGGGGTGGGATAGGATGAAGAGAAATATACTTAGTTTATCGTAACAACAGCAAAGAATTCTCCCCTTAGCCATAACGCTAATACATTATATGTGTGTGTGTGTGCACGCACATGTATGTATACATACATATATATATACATGCATACACACTTACATATACACACACATCTATCTGTGTGTGTGTATATATATGTTATGTATTTATATATGTACATTTTTTCCTCTAATCTTTTTATCATGTGACCTTTCATAATTAGGTCACTTATCCATTTGGAACGTCTTGTTGTCATGTGGTGTAAGCTGGTGTTCTAAACCTTTTTTCTTTTTTTGGGTCAGATTACTTTCTAATTTTCCCAGCTATTCTTGTCAAATAGAGAGTCTTTCTCCGAGTCATTTGTGTTCTTGGGGAAGAGCCCTTTCTTCATAAGTACCTTAGTAAGCATTAAAAATTTTTTTTTTCCTAGTAAGCATTTTTCAGATGCATGATTGGGCCTTTCCTGTTTGCTGACTTTGGACAGACTGGGGAACTGGGTGTCTAGGTGGGGTCATTCTGGCCATGCCGCTCGTTGACATGTTCTTCATTGTCTTTGGTAACGCTTCAGTGTGTGTGTCATTAAAATTGCCATCAGTAGGAAGGCTCTAGTTCTAGTGGTAGAGTGTTGCACACTCGTAGGTTTTCTGTTCCAACTTTATCTTCTGTTCCTCCAAGGTGGGGCTCCCAATTACTACCCTAACAGCTTTGGGGCTCCTGAGGATCATTCCGCCGTTCTGGAGCACTGCTATCAGATCTCAGGGGATGTGCAGCGCTACAACAGCCTCGATGAAGATAACGTCACCCAGGTAACGGCTGGCTGCTGGGTCCTTCTGGTCACTGGGCGTCTCCGAGATCTGGCTCTCTCTCCCGAAGCATCCTGTTGTGAGAGTGTGGCGTGTGGCTCAGCAGCCGCACGTTGCTCCGACTTGGGAGAAGTCAGAGAGTTGGGCCAGCCACATGAAGGAGGAAAGCAAGACCTCTTGTTCAGTGCTGGCCCCCTGCTGCCAAGTTGGGACTTGCTGCAAGCCTGACCTGGGAGGGCGTGGGGGGACATTCAGTGAGACTCGGAGAACTCGTCAGGGCTCAATTGATTAACGTGGTGCTCAGGTTTTCTTTCTCCCTTTGTATGTGTCGGTGTCTGGGGGATAAAGCGCACCTGAATTCAGAGTCACTGTGTGTGCACCCTCACAGAACAGGAAGTCTGCTTCCCAATCCCCCGGGGTCCCTCCCATCCCCCAGAGGGTAAGCTCCTCGAGGGCAGGGATGTTTCTTTGGAGTTTTCAAAGTATTTTCCATCCATCCTCTCCGGACGCCTTAGTGAGAGGGGCTCCAGGCATGACTGTGCCTCTTTTACAGATGGGGCGACCGAGGCTCAGAGAGGTTGTCACATGCCAGGATGGGGTGAGATCCCAGGTGCAGCTCCCTCACTTTCCGTGACTCCTCAGAAGTCACAAGTGCCATTGGTTTTTTCTAGGATGAGCTGACCCTTTGGCTTCCTGTGTCCTCTCTGTCTCTTTAGGTGAGAACGTTCTACAACACGGTGCTGAATGAGGCGCAGCGCCAGCGCCTATGTGAGAACATTGCCGGACACCTGAAGGATGCCCAGCTTTTCATCCAGAAGAAAGCTGTGAGTGAGCTGTGTGTTAGGGCCAGTGCCTTGTTCATGGGGGCGGGTAAAGGTGGGGTCGGAGAGGTATTTGGAGCGAAGGACTTCCGTGTTCTTTTATCTGATGGTCAGAATCTTAAAATGCTCAGTCAGGATTTCTCCGAGTTCTTAAAATCGAGGAATTCTCTCCCACTGTTTTAATTTGGCTACTGCCCCATATTATGCAATATTCTGAGCACTGCCTGATAAAACTACAGGGCTGACCACAGACTTCATAAGCTGTAATCAGTGGGAGTGTGGTTTCTCCCCAGGATCGCTAAAGAATGTGGGCGGCTGGCCCTTTTTAAGAAGTTAAGTAGAAATTTACTGAGGTGGGGAGAGCTGTGCCTTAAAGCATTAAAAAAAAATAACCTTTAAAAAAGTACCTGAGTGGAGTGTAGCCCCCTCCTCCCTTCTGGTCACTGTCTCTGGGTTGATGTTTGTTGACAATCACTTAGCTGATATAGGCCCCCTTACCTGTCCTCCCCATGGCTTGTCCCAGTCCTCGGATTGTAGGGAAAGCTGGTCTACTCTCTGGAGTCTTGTCATCTCTGCCTGTCTTCCCAAACCTTCTTCACTGCCGCGGGGCTGGCACAGAGGCTTAATCTGAGATATCGGTGGCGACAGCTGACTGCTTAACTGTGGGGTCAGACAGAAGGCAGCACAGTTATCCCTTCTACATCACAGGGGTGAGGGGCGCAGTACCGCGCTGTGACCCGGAAAATCTGCGTTAAAATTGTTTGGCCCTCCTTTGGTACCAGAGAAGAAATCTGAATTTTTTTGTTTTATGGGGTGTTTGAAGGACTTTCTTGTGAAATTTGGGTTGTTTGGTCATAGGCTCTGTGTCATCTGCTGGCCTTTGGGTGTCATCTGAGGCTTCCACAAAACTCCCCCAAAATTCCCGTTTAATTTCTTGTGCCAACTCACAATATATCGAAACCACAATGGGGAAAGTCGTGATATGGAAGGGATAACTGTATTTCTTTGTATCTATCTGTTCCTGGGCCTCTGCAGTAAAGAACCTCTCCCCCCACCCCTATCCTGTGCTGGACTGGGATTCTTGCTGGGAATGCCTTCATTAGGACTGTGGAGAAGTTGGTGCTCCCACCATCCCCTTATCCATAATCATGATCTGGAGGCAGCCCTGGCACCCATTCCTTACTCCTGGGCTAGGGGTTGTATTGTGAAGTGGTTTGTGCAGGTTTCGATTTATTTTAATTTGGTTCCAGGTGAAAAACTTCAGTGATGTTGATAGTGACTATGGGTCCCGGGTCCAGGCGCTCCTGGACAAATACAATGCTCAGGGACAAAAGGTAAGGCCTGGCATGGTCTGGTGGTTGCAGCATGGCGCCTAACTCGGGTTAGGAGATTGCCCTACATTTTAGCAGATAGCAAGATAATGGAGAAGAAAAGAAGGCTTAAAGGCCGCTAGAGGTGGCGCAGTGGATAGAGCACTGGCCCTGGATTCAGGAGAACCTGAGTTCAAATTCGGCCTCAGATACGTAATACTCACTAACTGTGTGACCCTGGGCAAGTCACTTAACCCCATTGCCTAGCCAAAAAAAAAAAAAGGGTTACAAATTAGTTAACTGTAAATAAGCTCCAGTTCCAAGCAATTTCTGAATTTCTGTTCATTTTTACCATTCCCATTCCATTTGGCTCCTCTGTGACAAGATGTGAAAAGAAAGTATGGGACCACCAAGGCCTGAGATGGATGGATAGTCTTGTGGTCAAACATTTTATCACCTTTTCTTGTGTCCGGTTTCCTAACGGGGTCATTGGGTCGTGACAGATCAGTCATTCAGAGTGTTGGCTTTTAGTGATCCCCCCCTTTCAATTCTGGAGACCAGCAGTGAAATTATGTTTGTATTAATGCAGTATTGATAGGGTGATCTTTTAACTCGGTCGCTGGTTTTCCTACCCTTTACTGTTGGTGAAACAGATTCCAAACAGAGGCTAAGTTAACTTTCCATCAGTCACAGGGCCGAGCTGAATTCACTAAGCCAGGCACACTCCAACTGGCATGATCATTGGTTTAGGATTCGAAGAGTCCTCACTTGCCTCATCTAATCCACTCATTTCTACAGGGGAGGCTCAGAGAGGTTAGGTCATTTGCCCAAGGGCACATACGGTAAGGCCGAGGACCTTGGAAGAGAATGTGTTGTCTTAGCATAGTAATAATGTCCTTAGAGGAAAATACAGTTGCTGCTCTTAAATAAATTTGTTTTCCTCTTTTAAATAGAATGTGATTCGAACCTATGCTCAGTCTGCATCCCAGTTGTCTGCTAAGGAAAAAGCGAATCTCTGAACTCAGCGGGAGGATTTCTTCTCAGCTAAAAGATTCTATGACAGATGAAGCTACAGGAAGCTAATACTTATGATCAGTTGCCACACAATATAACACAACTGTCTGTATGCTAAATGCTCCCATCTGAAGGCCTGGTTTTATAAAAACATTCACATTTTGCAACCAGTAATGCTTCTTGTCCATTAATACTTTGGACCCAGGTTTAGTAGTACTTGGGGAAAATAATTTTTCATGTTTATGTTGGAAGTGAAGGTTAATACAGTGCCTTTTAAAAAGTGTGTTTGGTATTGACAGTTGATTTCATGTGAGAAAAGTTATTTAGTGGAATTATCAATTTAGCTGATAAAAATTATCTCATGAAATTAATGTTCTTATCTCACCTCACTGCCTCTTAGATAGAAAATAGAATCATTTTTTGGATGGATCATTTAAAAAAAAATCAATTTCCTTATGGGGAAAACATTTTCTGGAGTACCCTTTTCAGAAAATTATTCTGCCACCATCATGTGTGGTTCATTGTTTCTGCTTGGAAATTGTCACCTTCCATTCTTTTTTACCTTGAAATTATGTTTATATTAATGCAGTATTGATTTTTAAAAACAGATTGATTTGTAGTCATATTTGCATTTTACAGTAAAATAATCTAAGAAAGCAAATGGTGTTTGGATTCTTCTGGTGTGATTAAGCGGACGCTAAAACTTGCAAACTTCAGCCCGAGTCTTCAGTACCATTCACGAAGCATTTATGAAGTGTTTGCTGCATGCCAGGCAGCTGATAGGTGCTGGGAACAATCCAATCCCTGCGCTCAAGGATCTTACATTCCACCGGGGAGCTCCCTTCTGGGTGGATGGCCTTGTTAATTCCCAGCCCCTCTAGCAGATCATGGGATCCTGGCTTTCGAACTGGCAAGGGACCTTGATGAGCTGGTCCTCTCGCCTCATTGTACAGATGTGAAGACAGGCCAGAGAGGTGAAGGGTCTTGTTCAAGGCCACACAGCAGTAAAAGGCAGAGCTAGGATTTCAGTGATTGAGGCATGTTTGGATCATGCTTGATGAACGGGATCTCCCTGTGGTGCCCAGCACCACAGCCCTGTGACTCAAGTGCTGTTCTTTAAAGTAACTAGCCCATGATCATAGAGCTGATCAGCTGCCTCAAGGTCCTCAAGTGCGGCCCTTTGACTAAATCTAAACTTCACAGAACAAATCCCCTTAATAAAAGGATGTGTTCTGTAAAACTTGGACTCAGTGAAAAGGCCCCACCCGTGTGGCCCTGAGGCCGCAGGTTTCCTACCATCCCCCACCCTCCCATCCCCCTTCTGCCATCCGAGTCTAGCTCTAATGACACTGTGGCCCCCGGTGCCTGATTTGGACCCAGATCTAGACTCCAAATACAGCTTTGTACCTTACCACATCTGACCAGAGGCAAGGAAGGGCCCGCTGATGAGTGAGGGCGCACATGCTACCAGACAGCCTTGGGCCTGAGAGGAAGAAGAAGGCTGCTAGGGAATGAGGAGGTCATCCCTAGGTCAGCCTCTCAACAACCACCTTTTGGAAAAGGTCTGTCATTTCTTCCGAATTAGGATTTTTGGCTGGTTTTTCCTCTTCATCTTTTAAGACAGTCCTTTATTTCTTAAGTTATTTCTGCTTGGTCTACCTTAAAGTGACCCTATTCCCACAGGTTCTCTTCCCCAACCCTCAAGCCTCTCTTCCTTCCCCTCCCCCCTTTGTTTTGGAGTTCCCTTTAATTTACTAATTCCTTTTTTTCTTTCCTTTAATTCTTCCCCTTTATTTCGCTCTCAGGGAAGTGGTTAATTTAAGTCCACCTGGGGCAGCGAGGGGGTGCAATGGAGAGAGCTCAGGCCTTGGTGTCAGGAGGACCTGAGTTCAAAGCTGCTAGCTGTGAGATCCCAAAAAGGAAAAAAATATTAAATCTCCCCCCTTCAACTTCATTTCAGTGTTTTTTTTTAATTTTCCATACTTTTTTTTTTGTCTTTCGGTGAGGCAATTGGGGTCAAGTGGCTTGCCTAGGATCACACAGCTAGTAAGTGTCATGTGTCTGAGGTTCAGATCTGAACTCGGGTAGTTCTAACTCCAAGGCTCTATCCACAGCAACACCCAGCTGCCCTGCCCTGCCTTTTTTAAAAAAGGCTGTCTTTACCTTGGTCTTTTCACCAGCTCTTTGCCCTTTCTGGCCGTTCCTAAACTTTTGTTCTTTGATTCATGGTCTTGATGCTCACTTACTCTGTCTTTAGCCCCTTCACATTCCTCATCAGACTAATGCTCCCAAAGTACCCACTTTGAATTTCCTCTTATTCTCTACAGATCCTGCTCCCAGCCCTTTGTTCCATTGTGCCTCACTCTTAGAGGCATCAGCTCCTAAAATGGTGGTGAGCACAGACGTTGAGCTCCTGGAAAAAATTTCCCTATGTCCCCGATCACCAAGTCCAACTGCCCCTTGCGCCCTGTGGACGGTTGTTCAATAAAGTCATCACGTGCTGTGTTAAGCCCTGGGAAGATAAAGACAAAAGACAGTCCCTGCTCTTGAGGGGCTCCTGACCCAATGGGGGAGACAGCGAGTGACAAATAAGATGTAGACAGGATGAATTAAAAATAACAGGGAAGGCGCCAGGATGAAGAGGGGTTGGGGAAGGCTTCCTGTGGAAGGTGGTAATTTAGTTGGACTTGAAGGAAGCTGGGGAGGTCAGGAGGGAGAGCCTTGCAGGCGTGGGGGACCGCCAAGGAAAATGCCTGGAGTTGAGAGTGTCTTGTTTGAGGAACGGCAGAGACCAGTGTCACTGGATGGAAGAGTGTGAGAGAAGGGGTGTAAGAAGAAAGGAAATGTGGGGAGGGGCAGTTGTTAAGGGCCTTGAATGTGAAGCAGGATTTTGTATTTGATCCGGGAGGTGATAAATAAGATTCTCATTTCTCTCTTGAACCATTTGGGACCATGTGGCTATGGTTCATGTTCTCTTGAGAGCTGACATTGGCCTCTGTCTCATCAGATATTGGTTCAATTTCCTTTGTCTTGCAATATTTATTTAGTGGCTTGCAGTTATTTTGTGACCTTCCTGTCTTTTATTTCAATATCTTTCCTATTGTTTTTTTTTACTTGAACTCTAGGTTCTTAACTGAATTTTCCTTCTTCTGAGATCTTTGGTGGTTTTAGTCTCCCCCCCCCCCCCCCCCCCCCGTAGTTTTCCTATATTGTCCGCTTTTTGACTCCTCCCCAGGGGCTGAACCTCTAAGCTGCCTCATCTGTCTTTAGTGAATTTCTTTTAATGAGCCTTTACCAGGATCATCCTGGTTGGATTTCACTGCCCTCTGTCCTAGTTCACTAGTTCTCTAGCTCTTTGGCTGAATGCTACTGCCTCAGGCAGAGTATGCTCCTGCTTCCCTATACCTCCCTCTCTTCAGACGGCTGGACAGAATGGAGGTCTGCTGCTTGTTACCACAAAGTGGTGGGATGAGGGCAGGGGGCTGGGTATTCAGGCAGAGACTTTAGTAGCAGCAAGGAAATTGCTGAGTGGTCCCCAGAACACAAACCTTTCAATTAGGTTGGGTTTGGTTACCCGATACTTAATTTGGTGCTCAAATATTGCTTTGTAGACTTGTCCCAAGTCAAGATATACAGGTCCAAGTAGGGATTCTTCAGATATGCATAGTTCCTAAGAGGTCAGTTCTTTTGAGGATTTTCAGCAATGGCTTGGTCTCAGAATTGGTAGTCATATGCTAAGGCCATAATGATGTCATCCAGTCCCATTTATAGTTTCACCAAACACCAGCACACTCCTGGTCTGGCTTTCATTCACTTTGACAGGACTAATCTAACACATAAGGTTAGCAGATTATGTCTTCTTGTACATTTGAAATAATGCCTCAGGGAAGGAATGATTCAGGATCTCATGGAGGCAACCTCAAAGGACATCTGGTACATGAACAGAACTGCCTTCTCGCACTTCCATAATAGCATCCATGGTTGTCTCACCTTCATTGAAGACTGTTAGTCAAACTTCAGTGGAAGACTTTGTTCACGTAGAATACCTTTCATTATAATCTGCTTTAGCATTAGTTTTTTGGGTTGCCATATTACTCCACTCACTTGTATTGATTTTAGAATTTATTAAAATTCCCAGATTCTTTTTATTGTTTTCTAGCCAGACCTTGCCCATCTTATACTTGGGATATTGACCTGTTATTGCCTTTATATTCAGTTTTACTTGCTTAAAGTGATGCTTGACTTTTTACCAATGGCTTAGATAAAGGTGTGAATGGCATACTTATCAAATGTACAGATAACAAAGCTAGGAAAGCTGGCTAATCCAGTGGATGATGGTTGGGATCCAAAGAGATTTTGAAAGGCTTACAGATTGTGCCATTTTGAATAAGATGAAATGTCAGATAAATGTAGTCTCACATTCAGATTTTAAAAATTAATTTCACAAGTGCATGAGAAGGGATCTAGTGGACTATAACAATATTAGTCAATGTTGTGATTTGGCAGCTGAGAAAGGTGATGAAATTTAAATTTAGGCTGTGTTTTTGAAAGGCAGCATTGATAGATCACACAAGTACCGTGTTCTTTTCTGGCACCACCGTTTTGAAATGCCGTTGGTGAACTGGGGAGCATCCCAATGAGAACAACTAGAATTATAATGGGCCTTAGAGTCATGCTACATGAAGACTGGTTGGAGGAATGAGGAACATTTAGCCTGAGGAAGTCTCAGAGGGAAGAGGAATGAAGAGCTTACTATGTGCCAGGCACTATGCTTAGTTATGATCTCCATTTTACAGATGAAGAAACTGAGGCAAAAAAAGTTAAACGACTTGTCCAAGGTCACATAGCCAGTAAATGTTTGAGTCCACATTTGAACTCAGGTCTTCCTAACTCTAAGCTTTGAGCTCTATCTGCTGTACCACCTAGCACCTAGGTAGTGGATTCCCTTTCAATGGTAGGATGCAAAGATAGGATAACTCTTTGGGTATGAATGCTATATAAGGACTTTTTGTTTAGAATTTTTGAACAAGACTATTAGGGGTTTTTAACCCTGGGCTTATGAACATGTTTTTTTTTTAAATATTTTATTATTTTATTTAAAAAAACATTTCTTCCACCAAGCAAGGGCCACTGGGAGGGAGAAAGAAGGAAGGAAAGCCTTGTGCATGGAGATTCTAATAGGTCCAGAGATCATGGTGCCAAGTGGGATGGTGAATAAGCTTCAGCAGGAGGTGGAGAGCCTGGAGGCAAGAGACAGAGGCTGCTGGGTCAGAAGTTGCATTGCTGTGGAAGTGGTAAGGCTGCAGACAAAGGGTGGGCACCTAGCAGGGCATTCATTCAGAAGGCTAACTTGTCTGTTGGGTAGCATGAATATGCTATAGTATATATTATACAAAACATAACATATATTATATATAATATTATTACATATTATAGATTGTATTGTACTATATTACATAATACTATTATGTAATTATATATTATATAATACTATTATATAATACTATTATTATATTATATGAAATATAATGTACATGATGTAATATGAGATGTGTATCCTATAATATATGATTTTATATATAGGTTATATGTAATTACATATGATATATAATTCTATATCCTACATACTTAATTATAATATATAGTTGTATAATGTATATGTATGTATGTATATATATAAATGTATAATATATAATTGTAAATATGTATTATCTGATCCACTTAACATTACTCTGAGAATTGCTCTGAGAAGGGTTCCATAGTCTTCTGCAGATGCCAGTGGGGGTATGGGGTTTCTATAACACAGAAAAGGCTAGGGACCCTGAGTGAGTCCCTTCATTTTTCAGATGAGGTCTCTGAGTCCAGAGAGGTGATAAGATCATAGACCTAGAGCTAATAGGAACCTCAGAGGTCATCTGCTCCAACCCCCTAATTTTACATTTGAGGAAACTGAGGCAGGAGTAGGGAGGGTAATGCCCCCCACATGTCCCCAGAACTTCCTAACTATTAGAGCGGTCTGGGTAGTGCAGGTTGCATCAGGAGTTGGTGAGCTTTCTCCTTATGGAAGGTCTTGAAACAAAAGCTGGAAGGCCGTTTGGTAGTCCATTGTCGTCAGTCGGTCAACAAGCGTTTATTAAATACTTACCAGGTACTGTGGCAGGTCTCCAGTGCTGAGCGCTGTAGAGGGGATTACGGTTTAGGTGTGGTTTGGATTAGTTAAATCGGAGCCTCTGTGATCCCATCCACTGTGGCCTCACCCATTCCTTCCACAAGCCTGACTGAACTTCACCTGTTCTTTAATTTGAATAAAAAGTGAAGGTAGCTAGAAGAAATACTTCTGTTGCCATTTTCCTTTCGTTTCATATTCCCTATGAAATCTTTAATTCTCTAGTTAGGATAGATGAAGTCCTTCACTTGGAGCTCTGAACATTAATGAAATCTCAGGTTGAGATAAAAAAAAAGAAAGAAAAATCCCCAACAGTTATTAAATGCAATATTTAAACACAAAACAACGATTTTAAACTATAGTCCTTGAAAAGTTTTCAAAATCCATCATAACTTTGGTGTGTTACTTTTGAGAGCAACTCACAGAAACAGTTTTCACATTAAATATTTTATTCACATTGTTTACAAACTGTATCCACCTGGGGAAAAAAATGAATCCAAAAATAGATTATTTTACAGTTATTCACATTCTTCTTTTACACATATTAGTTTTTGAGGTTAATCTTTTGACCACAGTGGTTTTTGACATACATCACGGCTCTGAGATGCCTCCCTCCTTCGGCTTGGTAACCAGAAGGCGCGGTAACAAACCACTCCAGTTGTGGGTCACCGATGATGAGTGAGAATCTGTCAGTGCAGACTTGACCTCACTGAAGTTTGTTGAGACAGTATTCCTTCACTTTCACATTTTTGATATGGCGGCTGGACTTTTGAGATGATGGGGGAGGGAGGTGACTCAGGTAGTTAAACTGAATAAAACTGGCTGACCATTTGATTATCGCCTCTTAATTGATAGGACTTTTTCAGTTATGAAAAGGCTTGACGTTTTTGCTAACAAAAACATTCAAAGAGAGAATTTTCCCTTTCGGCACTTGAGATCTCCCAGTTTGATTGTCTTGGGAACAACAATGATTATTTGGTAGGGGGAGGAGGGGAAAGAAGTGTTTTTCGGTTCATCAACCCCTTGCATAACCTAGTTCCTCTCCTAGTCAAAATTGGAGAGGAGAAGGGGAAATCTCACGAACAAATGTTAATGAAGCAACTTGTAAAGGTCTAATATGTTTAGAAAGATGCTTAAAAGTTTACTCGATGACTGGAATGATGATTGAGAACCCTACTGACCATCTATGCTAAATTTAGTTTGTGTCCTGGATTTGTGGCTAAAGCTGAATTTTTGTAAAATTTATTTTTCAGGTAGGAAAATTATCTGACGTAATAATAACAATAGCTGATGTTCACATAGCACTTTGAGGAGACAAAGTACTTTATCTGCACAAACCCATTGGGTCCTCACAACAACCCTGTGAGGTAGGCAGGCAAAGTCTGACAATCCACATTTTACAGATGAGGAAACTGAGGCTCAGAGAAATATGACATGGCTGACATCTCAAGGATAAGAAGTGGTCAAGTCTTCTGACTTGTCTTTCCATCAAGTCATTCGGATTTAGAGCACTGCCCAGCTGACTTCAATCATGGAAAATTTAAACTAAATCACTCTCACCTGTAGTTCATTGTCACTGAATTAGACTATAAGTTCTTTGGGATCTGCCTGGGAGCTAACAGTGAAACCTTCTGAAGAGGAGCAGTAAATAAGTAAGTAAGTGGCCAGGGGCTAAATCGAACTAGGAATTTTTAGAATGGGGTGGGGTGGAGGAAAGAGCTCCCTGGGGGTACAGCTGCCAGGAGGGAAGGAGTGTGCATTGCTAAAAGACTGGCCATTGCTAAGGAGATGGGGTTGATGAGGAAGCCTGGGGAATGGGGTGGATACTTGGGGAGTAAACGCTTCAGGATGAGGCCACTATTGAGGCTGGGTGGGGAGGAGCCCACTTGGGGTATGACCAACGCATCAGGGTGGGGAGGTTAGCCCTTTTCAGCCCCTTAGAAATTTCAGCAGCCTGGGTAAAAACCCTGACTTACCCCCACTCTAAATTGGGGCTTTGAGCCAGGCGTTCTGGTTGTCTTTCTTGCTCTGAAGAATCTTGATAGTTAAAAATGGTGCTTGATTGAATCATAGGAGTCAACTCTTGCAAAATAAATTTATACTCCCCCAAATCATCCCTCCCCTTCGAATTAGATTTCAAATAGCCTAGTGGCTACAATTCAAAACAGTCAACAACCTGTCAATCCAGATGGAAACTGTACTATGGAGAAATTTCACCGGAATGTATTCAGGTAAAAAAAAAAGAGAGAGAGAGAGAGAGAGAGAGAGACTTTCAGATGTCTTTCACAAGGTGATCTTTTTAAAGGGGGAAAAATCCATAAAGTGAGCCGGATGAATGATGCCGGTCATAGCTTGTCTTCCTGCCAACCGTGTGCATTTTTCCCAAATTTGTACACTAACCTTCTGTCCACCCGTTCCAAAATTCCTGTTTTGTAGTAGTATCTGGGGGGGGGAGAGAAAAACAACAGAAGGATAATCAGAGAGAGTTGAACCAGAGGCAAAAAACCAGCTCACTACCTATCTGGCAACATTCCCAAGGCTGGGCCTCTCTGATGGAGCAACTTTATTTAGATTTCATCAATGTTTTCTTACTCTGTACTTGGCTTACACAGAAAACTTTCCCAGATCCCTATGTAATTGAGCTGCCTTCTTCTAGGTTGTGTGTGTGCACGCGCGTGGGTGTGTGTGTGTGTGTGTGTGTGTCCGTCAGTCCGTCCCCGGGGTCCATTCAAAGCGATCCCTTCCCTAAAAGCTCCCAAGAATGAGAAGCCAGGAGGGTCCTTTTCCAAGCCCCTAATCTACCTGCCACTAAAAGAGCCAGAAGCTGGGTCTTGTGACCTTTCCATTCACCAAGTGAAAATGCCAGGAAAACAAAGTTATTCCCGGCTTTATGGAACTGTGCCCAAGGGGAGCCATGGGGCAGGATATCAACTTACCTCAGGGCTCTGCTCAGCTTTTCATAGGTCATCCGATCATTTTTCTTCCTTTGTCCCCACATCTTGGCTAGGGCTTCTGATTTCACCACCCGAAAAATACCCTGCTCCCGATCCTCCCATTCCAAAATGCCACAATTCTCTTCAGGAGACAGAAGGAGGTCTCTCACAAATTCCCACAGATGAGAACTCTGGAGGCCTTTGGGAGAGGGGAAAGGCAAAAAAGGTTGGAGTTCCCTCCCAAGGGGCCCATCCATCCCTTCCCTTCCTGTGCCATGCTTGTCCACGGCTTCCCATAAGTCTGACACTGAGGGCCACCCAAGGCTAGAGGCCTTCCTTGATGTCTCCCAATGTTGCTTCTAATCTCTCCCTCCAGTCTACCCTCCAACCAGCTGCCGAAGTGATTTTCCCAAAGCCCAGGTCTGACCATGTCGCCCCCTACTCGATAAACTCTGGTGGCTTCTTTTCTGTTTGTCATTCCAAGACCTTCAGAAGCTGGCCCCTCGTTACCTTCCTCACACCTTCCTGCCCCAACCCTCCCAATCCATGATGCAGAAATGCTGACCCTTCCTGCTGCTCCTCAAGCGCGACGACACTTCCTTTCTAACGTGAAGCTTTTTCACTGGCTGTGGCTCCAGTCTGGAATGCTCTCCTCTCGTCCTGCCTCTGGGCTTTCCTTATTTCCTTCAAGGGTCATGTAATCCTACCCATTCTAAGCAAGGCCTTTTTTGGGAGCACCTTTCTTCTGAGATCACTTTCTATTTACACTTTATGCGGTGTGTAGGTGCATAGTTACTTTCATGTTGTCTCTGCCGTTAGAATGTGAGATGCTGAGGGTAGGGACCAGGGCTTTGCCTTTCTTTGTATCTTAGGGTCTTAGCATAGCACCTGGCCTATAGCAGTGCCTGATACATGCTTGGCGAGTAGCTGATAGTGGTATGCTCCATCTGCTTTTCACTCTCCACCGTGATACCAGCCCACCTTTTCATCATAAAATTCCTGGATAGCATATTCGCCAAAGACATACTGGAGAAAGGGGAGAGATATGCTTTTAAATTTGACTGGAGAACTCCCCCGAGGGAAACCTTTAAAAAGAGATGACCTTCAGAGTTCCCTGTAACCAGCATGATTTGAGGGAGGCAGCACCTCAGACCTTAAAGAGCACGGGCTGGATTTGAAGGAAGATGATCTAGATCTACATGCTGACTCTGCTACTTACCAATTGTGTGACTGTGGATAAGTCACTCATCTCAAGGGCATGGATTTAGATCTGGAAGGGACCTTAGAGGCCACCCAGTCCAACCCTCTCATGCTTTCAAATGAGGACACTGAGGCCCAGAGATTTGAAGTGATTTCTAGTCATCTACACCCATTGCTGGCCAACTGCCATGCAAATGATAGGCAAGCCCACCTGGCTGATGGAGCAGGGCTCCTTGAGGATGCTGGGCAAAGCAAACCACTGCCAAAACCTTGACCACTACCTCCCGATTTCAAATCAGACTTTTTTCCACCATGTTTTCACTGACCTACATAATGCCCCAGTTGGAAGGGACTTCTGAGGCCATCTTTCTCGTCCAACCCTTCCAAGTCATTCAGCCTGTGCTTGGACAGCTCCAGGGATGGGGGAACTCACTATCTCCCAGGGCAGCCCAGGTCCCTTTGGGAGAGCTCTTCTGGTTCCTTGCACCAAGCCTAACTTAACCAACTGTGGACATCGGAACTCCTGTGAAGCTGAAGTGTAACCTCAAGTGGATTTGAGGATATTCCCTTTCCTTATGAAGCTTCCATTCCAGAGGAATTTCTGCTGAACTTACTTGATCTGCCGTGGTTATGGCTCTCTTGACTTTTTATGCTTCCAACTTTTAAACACGATGAGTCAGCAGCTGAAACCAAAGCCAAGAGTCGAGCATTAGGAAACAGAGGGAAAGGACCTGGGATCGAAGGGTTCACTGCTAGATTGCAGATTCAGGAAAGAGCAAAGCCCTGTCCAGGCCTGCTTTAACCCACTGTTGCCTCGGTGCAACTGAGACTGAGAACCAAGGGTGAGAGGAGCAGAAGAAAGGATGAAAAGGAGGGATATTGGGGGAGGTTTGTGTCTGTTTCTTACAGTGCTAAGAAGGACCTTTGGAAAACCTTTCTCGTAAGGCCCTGGGGAATTTCTAAGGCCTGGTGAAGAATTTTCTCTAGTTTAGTGCTGGGTTGTAAGATAAGAGCCACTGATGACTGATGGGCACTCCATCAGATGTGTGTGTGTGTGTGTAATATATAAATGTAAAATATATAAAATAATATAAATATATATAAAAGAAGATGGGTCTGTTGTAAAGTAGGAGCCAGTGATGACTGATGGGCACTCCATCAGATGTGTCTGTGCGTACTATATAAATGTATAATGCATATAAATTAATATAAATACATATAAAAGAGGATGGGTCAGTTGTAAGGTGAGAGCCAGGGATGACTGATGGGCACTCCATGCCCTACAGTGGTATTTTCATGATTGAGAAACTAGATGGTACAGTAGATAGAGTACAGGCCTGGAGTTCAAATCTAGTCTTAGATCCATGCTAGTTGTATGACCCTTGGCAAATCACTTAAGTGTTTGTCTCAGTTTCCTCAACTGAAACGAGGATAACACCTACCTCCCAGGGCTGTGAAGATCAAATGATAATAATTGTAAAGCACTTAGCCCAGTGCCTGCTACATAGTAAGTGCCCGGGGGGGGGGGGGGGGGGGGGGGGGGAGAAATGTTTGCTGTTTTCACTATCATTATTGTTATGATGATTTCAAGAGAAAGCTAGAAAGCCCTCTAGCCCCTTCTCTGTGGTCAGAGCTCTTTGAGTACAACCTCTTCCCCTCCCCCCCATTCTACAGATGAGGAAACTGAGACCCTCTGCAATAACCTCTAATTTTCCCTGTATGTAAAAATCTGCATGTTGTCTCTCACATTAGAATGTAAGCAACTGGAGGACAAGGATTCTTTGTTTCTTTGTTTCTTTGTTTCTTTGTTTCTCCCCTTTCTCCCCTTTCTCCCCTTTCTCCCCTTTCTCCCCTTTCTCCCCTTTCTCCCCTTTCTCCCCTTTCTCCCCTTTCTCCCCTTTCTCCCCTTTCTCCCCTTTCTCCCCTTTCTCCCCTTCTTCATACTCCGAATCACTTAGTACATATAGTAAGATGACTGCACATATATACTCTATAGCAAATTGCTTGCCTTCTCAGGGAGGGAGGGAGAGAGAATTTAGAACTCTTAAAGAATATTTTAAAAATGTTTTTACGTGCAAATTAGAAATAAATAAAATAAAATTTAATAGCACACATAGTTAGTACTTAATATGTGCTTGTAGACTGATTAAGAGACCCAGGGAGGTTGGATGACATGCTGAGGGTCCTAGAGGTAGTGTGCATCAGGGGTGGCTGCTCTTTCCACTGGAGCTTCCTACCCAGGAGCTCTCACACTCCATTAGGAAGTAGAAAGTATTAGAAGTATAAAGAGTGGTCATCAAAATTGTGAAGGGAATAAAGAGTAGACAGAGAAGAGAAGAAGAGGACACAGGACAGAGCTTTGGTGGCATGAGTGTGGCCATGTGAGGTGAAAGCAGATGGCAGGCACTGAGGGAAAGTGCTCAAAGGCCTACCTCCTCAGATCCAAAGTCCTTCTCCTTTGCCTGATACAAAGTCACACCTCACCAGGGCAGAGCCAGGCTTCCTGACTGACCTGTTTGATCTTTTAATAAGCGAGAAAAACAGCTCAACCGTAAAGATAAACTAAGGTCAATGATTAACCCGTGGACAGAAAATAAGTTATGCTGACTTGCAGTAAGAGAAACTAGTTTTTAAAAACTTCAAATACTTCCATTATTTTCTCAAAGATATATATGTACATATATGTATATATATATATATATATACGCCCCCATATTGTATACATACGTGTATGTGTATAAATATATGAAATATGTAAATGAGGTAATGAACATTTATTAAATACCTACTATGTGCCAGGCTCTGTGCTAAGTGCTTCACAAATATCATCTCATTTGATACTCATAAAAACTCTGGAAGGTCGGTGCTATTATCCCCATTTCAGCTGAGGAGACCGAGGCAAACAGAGCGTAAGGGACTTGCCCAGGGTAACACAGCTGTGTTTGAAATCCAGTCTTCCTGATTCCAGGCCCAGCCCTTTATCAGCTGTGCCACCCGCATGCCTTGTGTCTTTTTGTACGCATACGTGTGCAGACATCTATATGTTGAGTTGTTTTCCCCTCATGTACAACTCTTTGTGACTCCATTTGGGGTTTTCTTGGCAGAGATACTGGAATGGTCTGCTATTTCCTTCTCCAGCTCATTTTACAGACGAGGAAACTGAAGTAAACATGGTTAAGTGACTTGCCCAGGATCACACAGCTAGTAAATGTCTGAGGCTGGATTTGAACTCGGGGAGATAAGTCTTCCTGGCTCCAGGCTGGCCCTCTATTCTCTGCATCACCTGTGTGTGTATATTTACACTCATACACACAATGCATGGACCTAATAACAACAACAATTATTCTCATTACTACAACTGTTTTTTGGTTGGCAAAGTGTTTCCTTCGCAACCACCCCACGAGGGAGGTGATGATAATTGGGAACATTTGTATAGCACTTTTAAGGTATTTAAAGTTCTTTACATGTATTAGCTCATTCCACCCCTTATAAAACTCATGAGGTATTATGATTCCTGTTTTTTATCCTGTTTATATCTTTTTTCCCCCCATAGTTTTCAAGTTGTCTCTCCCATTAGACTGTAAGCTCCTTGAGGGCAGGGGCTGTCTTTTGTCTTTCTTTGTATCCCTAACACTTAGCACAGTGTCTGGCACATAGCAGGTATTTAATAAATGCTTATTCCTTCATATATATTTATCTACATACACATATATGCACACACATACATGTGTATACATGTGTGCATATATGCTTATGGACCACTGACTATTTTAGAAGCGAGGCACTGAGGCACAGAAGTTAAATGATTTGATCAACATCCCACACCTAGTAGGATGAAAGATGGGATTTGAAGTCAGATCTTCCTGACTTCAAATCTAGTACTCGGTGGTTAATCAATCTGCTTATTTCAGGCAATGCAAGAATTCTTATCCCAATATTATAGATGGGGAAACTGAGGCTTTTAGAGATGGAATGATTTGTTTAAGTTCCCGCAGCCAAGTAAGTGTTGGAGTGGGGAGTTGAACCCAGGCCAGCCCCCTTTCCACATGTTGGCTTTATCACTTCGTCCAGTGTTTTCTCTGTTGGGATCCTAGTTTGAGCCAATTTACGATGAATTCTATAGTGGTGGTTTCAGAGAAAGTGTGGGGTCTGTTTAGAACCACTGCCTTACTTGGTGATAGAAAGACGCCTGCATTGGCCTGAGACTGGTTGAAGGCAGCAGTGGTGACCTGAATCCAATCTAGTGCTTAGCACAGCACTCTCCTGTTAGAGCCTTTCCCAGCCCCGGTTCCCCCTATGGTACCCATCCCTGCCACTCCAGGCCAATCTAGAATCTGATCTAGAACATACCCTTCTCCGTCCTGTGATGTGACAGGTTCTCCTATTTGGAAAGGTCCTCAAAGATCATCTAGTATAACCCATGTCTGAACAGGGCTCCCTCTATACCATCCCAATACTTGGGCATCCAGCCCCTGTTTGAAGACTTCTGTGACCTCCATGACCTCCAGCCCATTCCACTTTTGGACAGCTCTAATGGGTAGCAAGTTTTTCTGTCTTTGAGCCAATATCAACCTTTCTGTAACTCCGAACTGAACAAATGTATCCTTTTTTCCAATATTAGAAGACAGTATTACTTTTTCTCTAAATCTCAACTGCTTCAACCAATCCAAAGTCTCTGGCCCCTTTCTGCCCCAACTGCCCTCTCCTGGACACTATCCATTTTTGTCATTATCCTTCCTAAATTTTACTGCTGCAAAAAAAACATAACACTTCCAAAGTGGTCAGACCAGTATAGAGCACAGTCACATGTTTACCTCCCTCATTCTGGCTCCACTTTCCTCTCTTAACATAGCCCAAGACCAGGCTTGCTCTTTTGGCTATCGTGACGTGCTGCTCACTCATATTGAGCCCACTAACGCCTCCATGTTATTGTTTGAGCTGAGCCCCAGCCATGTGTCCCCCACCTCCATCCCCCTTCTGCCAAGTAATATCTTCAACTGGAATCCATTGGTTCAGTTAAACTGTAACTAGAATATGGAGGGGTGTGTGTGTGTGTGTGTGTGTGTGTGTGTGTGTGTGTGTGTGTGTGTGTGTGTGTGTGTGAGAGAGAGAGAGAGAAGAGAGAGAGAGAGAGAGAGAGGAGAAGAAGAGGAAGAGGGGGGAGGGAGACAGAAAGACAGGGTTCGTACAAAGTTGGTAAGAAATCTCCCTTACAAGCATCTTACAATTTCCTAACTCTCTGAGGAATAAATAGTTGTATATGATACTGCCATGGGTTCTAAAACAAGTTTGTTCAGCATCACCTTATGTTGTGCTGAAAGCCCCCCGCAGCAGGGAGGAGAGAGGTCAGTTCCTTCATTGCTAAACAGCCTGGTCTTGCTCACTTCACCACCTGAAGACAGAAGGTGTCACTGGGGATTTTCTGTCTGCAGCCTCATGTCTCAACTCTTCACTGACATCCCCTTCTCTTCCATTTTTTCTTTTTTGTCCCTGATTTCCAAGGTTTTATTGAGTAACACACAAGCGTCTAGGGGGAAAACCCCAACCCGGCCCTACAGGTTGATGTCACCTCCTTCAGATGCTCCCTTGAGGCCTTCTTGCTCCCAAGGCAGACACCTGCTCATGGAGGTCTCCAGTATTTTGAGCATATCTAGTTTGGTGACAGTGAAGGTGGGCTTGCTGT